AAAATAAGGAATAATAAAGCATCACTTAACATTAAGACTAACCGTTGGAAAATAGCTTACGTTCTCCTCAAATTCAACAACACATTTCTGCATATTATGGTTGATTTCTGGGACCTGGAACGAATCACCAAAATAGTAGCTCTGAAGAGTCTCGTACATACAGATTTATCTCATTTGGATCGAGAGAGTATAAATTAGTATTGTACTAACTAGTTTCTCATTGTTTTATTAAACACAACTACTCACAATCCAGTTCGGTTTTCATTCTGTTAATTGACGTAATGACGTCATATACATCATCAAACAAGACCAGGAAGTCACATAACTCCCTAAGTAGAAACTGATCAACTGCTAAGTTGACCTCACTGTAATAGGGCATTCCTTTTCCCAGCCATTAATACTGCCTTCCAAGCTCGGAACCTTCTGGATGCATCGATCTACGATTTCCTAATAGAGGAAATTTCCTTTGGTTCACAAAATCTTACATTTCTTTCGAGGATCCCTAGACAAAAACATTTTAAATCTCGTCAGGTGTATGATAAGTAGGAATTGAGAACACGCGGTTTATTTAATATTTTCTTACACAATATCCTGTGCATTTACATGCAAATATGTGCAGAGATGCGTACTGATTATTTAAGTATTCCTTACCACGTCCTGAACAAATTTTCTGATAAAAAAATACTGTCCTTCTTTCTTTCTCGGGGGTAAAAGGACTTTTGAGGAGAAGGGCTATGCTGATAAAATAAATATTTATAATTGGGAAAAGAATGATCTTGAACAGAAAATCAACATTACCTACCATGTGTTCAAGGAAATAAGTCTTAGCATAAACCTTTCCAAAACAGAAACTATGATCTGGGATTGAACTCAAAACAGATATAGCAATCAGCGAGGATAGATATCGCTTTTTTTTAGTGATGATTTCTCCCCACGTCCAGAAGGGCATGACATGGAGAAAAATAAAATCAATTCACCATCAAAAAATATTCGTATCCATTTGAAAACTTGATTACCTTCTTTTAAATTTCACAACACGATATAGAAAGAGTTATCTGTTTAAAACATTTGAGCTTCTCCACAATATCTTTCAATTAAAACTATTTATTCTGTTATAGCCTATACTAACCAGATACCTATGCAAACATTGACGTCTACAATAATATACAGAGAGGTTGCTTTGATTTCACCAAAACAAACTGCACTGAATAAATAGTAACTGACAGATTATATGACGCCTGCACCCGAGCGTTTGTATCTCTGTGAATAAGTCGATTTGGTGTATTGGTTGAAACCGTTTCATAATCCCACGAACTAGCCTTTTAATTTGACATATTCTTTTGGATATAAGTGACATTTCAGTAATCTTTGAGTAAAACGCCATGATGACCTATAAACAAATACTTTGTGTGCCTCAAATATCAAGCGTCAAAATATTTGCCATTTAAAACTACGTCATATCGCACTGAAAGGCGAGGAAATTCAGTGCAAATATTCTTAGCTTCAATTTAAATATTCATTCAAGAAGTTAGGAGAAAAAGTTATTATAATCCTGCAGCTTTAAGAACAGAAAAAAAATATGTATTACAAAAAATTATCTTGAAGTGCGAATGTTTATTGATTTGACGGGAAAATCTATTCGTATATTTCAATAAAGATACTACGTTATTTTAGCAACCATTACTATTGAAAAGGCAAATATTATATACTCACATAGCATGTCTTTCGCTGTTGAATTTTCTTTGCCTAAAGCTCACAATACATTTCCGTTGGGAACAAATAGATATGTTTTATCATTATAGTTTATTGAGAGTAATTTAGTAAAGTGCTTTCATGCTTAACCCCAAAGGCTTTCATTTTATTCTGATCAGTAGCGGATTTAAAATGTATAACAAATATCAAACTTTCAGATTGTGACTAAAATGATGTAAATTCGTCGACATATCCCTGATGTTATATGACTGAACAAACCATAAAAATGGCGTTTAAATTTAAATGTATGGGTGGAAACACTGGTAAAAAAAAACATTATCAGATGTACGTCAAAAAGGACATATCTATCGAAATCTAAACCTGTTCATAAATTCTAAATTGATGCTGATGTGCCACACTACGACACGCAAAAGGCAAGGAAGGGATCCTCCATCAATCCCAGAAGGAGCGATAAGAACTATGGACTGTACCTATTTTCCTGATAAACTGTTTTCCACCGACAGCAGCAATGCCGAGTATTTGCTAATAAAGAAAGAGTTAAATCCATTATCAAATACTAGAAATATGTTCAGTTTATGGGGACCGGTTATAATGACAAATTTGTTACCATAACTAATAATAATACATGGCATTTATTAATTAATTTTGCATATATTAACATCCGACCACGTTCAACGTAAAAATAAGTGAATTGAAAATGCCCAACATTTGAACTCCAAATCTGAACTCAACGGAAAAATGCAATGCTGTGCGTGTGGTGAGGTCGTCGAATTATTATTTATTTAGTGTTTTTTAAACGCAATGAAACGCTAAATGCACCGTTATATGTGCAGAATCTGACAAATATCGATAGAATTTTGGTTAAAAACAAGGGAATATGAAAATGGTGTTCTCTCTCAAGACAACAAAAGGCCGCATACAGCAAGAATTAAACAGGAAATAAAAGGAAATCATTTGGACTGGATTACCAGCAAGCGCTGTATTCAGCTGACCTTGCATCATACCAATTATTACCGTTTCCGATTGCTGCAAAACACCTTGATGTGCGAAATATTCTTTAATTTAAACTAGATTCAAAATTTCGATATTTTCCCATGAAAAGATCTTTTCACATGAAACACTACAGGATTTTATTCTAAACTTATTAAAGATCTGCTTGATATACAGCAATATGTCATTGCAAATAATGGTGAATATATAATCGAATATAATATTGTACTTTGATTTGAATAAAGTTGATAGACAAAAGCGCATATTATTTAGGAGTCAGTCTAGTATAATCTTACATTGACCGTTTTAGAGAGGACAGGTTAGATCAAAATTTCGGAAAAAAATCATTGAAATAATGAAAATTTATGTTTTTACGATATGCACGTCTATAAAAGGAAATTCGTTGGACTAAGATATATTGTATTATTCATCTTTCACAAAAAATGCACTTTTGTCTTATACTAATCTAAAACTTGTTAATCCCAATTAGGATAGATTGCTGTGGAGCGATATATCGCAAGATAATTTCGCAAACAATAAAAATAATAAAGATAATAAATAAATATTTCAATCCACATTTCCTCACATTTTAGGTAAAAGGCCATAGAGAAATTGTTAATTAATTGATTGATTGATTGATTTGACTTTTACTGTTTATCAAATATTTACAGGTGACTTAATGGCAAAACATATTATTAGATTGTGATAATATTTCAGAGATAATAATGATTTACTGATACAAACTTTATTAATTAACCCATAGGTGGTGGCAGAAGAGGGGGATAGATATCTTTCCTAAAGGTATCAGTGCATAAGTGATATTAATGAACCCGACAGTAATGGGAAATCTGCACTTCGATTTTCAAATCTGAGCCTTTATCCATTGTACCACACTCGAATACAAGCTTACAGTACCTGATATTCCCAAGCGGTTACCCATCTAGGCATTGACAAGGCTCGATATTGTTTAACTTTGTAAGAGTGGAAATTGAGAAGAATATTATCACTCAAGAAATTTATATTTCAATGAGTGTGACTTAAGCTGAACATTGAATATGAAATAGGTCATTTTAGGGAAGCAAGTGTAAATATATCCAACGTTATTGGTAGTGAGGTGGATGCTATGAGTAGATAGAAGGTAATATTGGGTTCTATGGATTTGGGTGGCAAATTGTCTAGGGGAATGAAAAATCCTGACTTCAAAATCTGTAATTATGGGTAAATAGAAGGCCAGTTTTGCCTCTGTAGCCATTGTTGGTAACCAGACATAGAGAAGAACAATTCGGAATTCAAATCCGGAGCCAAATTCCATTAGACAGTTCGATATCATGTTCATTATCGTTCTGGAATCATCTGCGATAACGTTGGTGCCAAGGTGTATTAGCCTCTGCCTATCCGTTCAACAACATCGATCGCGCGGGGGGGGGGGGCGGAAGACGTGATGCATAGGCAACTACGATCTTTATAAAAAAAAACAAACGGCCCAGGCCTTACGCCCTGGAGAGTAGTACATAACCCTCGAAAGTGACGGATGCCATAACAAGAAGAATTAGTTGCGCACAACATGCTTCCAGTGACGTAGATGTGAACTATTAAACTGTAGAGGGATGAATGTCCACGAGACTCTTACAGTGAGATGCACAAGACTTGCTTAAAGCAATTTAGATTCCCACGAGCTGCTTGTATTTAAGTAGATGCGCGGATGATGCCTTAACTGAATCATGTGAAAGAGACGCTTGATATAAACCAAATATTTTTGCTGAGGTAGATGACCAAAAATTGCCCGTAGTGAGGTAAATGCTCTCAAGGTGCAAACTGGGAAGTAGATGCGCACGAGACGGTAGTATTTAGGTTAATATGCACGAAAGGTTTGTATTGAGGTACGTGCAAATGAGATGCTTGTAGTGAGGTAGATTCATAGATTGTTGTAGTGAAGTAGATGCGTAAGATATGTTAAACTGAGATGCATTCTCAAGAAATACACGTAGTGAAGTGGATTTGCACGTGATGATTGCAGTAAAGCATATGCACAGAAGACGGTTGAAGAGAGGTAGATGTACACGATAGTTTTCTAGTTGGGTATATGCTCAGGATATTGTTATACTTAGATGACCAATAAATGCTTGTCGTTTCATCAATGTTCATGGGATTCTTCTACCTAGATGTATACAAAATTCTGGTATTGCGGAAGATATGTTTGCAGTGAGGTAGATATTCACGAGGTGCTTTCAGTGAGGTACTTACGCATTGGACACCCAACATATGTGTCTTTTTACATGACAAATTTAGTGAGGTACATGCGCCTGTCATTTTTGGTACAGGATCCGCAAAGACGGATAAAAGCATGTGATGTTTGTAGCGAGGTAAGATGCACAGAAAATGATTGTGGTATTGCTTATATTGAGGTAGATGCATGCGAAACATTCTGGAAGTTTATACTGAAGTAAATGCAGACGATATGCTTGTGGTGATATTAAAAACGCTTGTAGTGAGGTACGTAACGCTTACAATGAGGTGGATAACCATGCAATACATACAGTATGTATTTTTATACAAAAGAAAGCAAATGTAGAAAATAATCCAGTTAGATTTGCAGATATTCACTGTTTTATTGTGCGAAATTCTTACATTTGTCATACGAAAATAACTATCTTCAGGTTTAACTGAACTTAGTGAATAAACATAAATTATTCCTCAACAGGTTGTTGTGGTTAACAATGTTTTTTTTGGAGAACTAAACCACACCCCATAGCTAGTTGCTGTCCTATGTTAACAAGGGTTCGAATGACCAAGATATGCTTTGTTACTGGGAATCTTTATCGGTGTAGGAAAGTTCATATATTCTTAAAATGATCGATATCTAAGCAGTAAGAACTATCCACATTACTACAAGTAACTCTTGTGTATATCATTAACAGCTTCTCCTGCACTCCAAACTCACTACAAACATCTCTTGCACATTTACATCACTAGAAAGATCATGTTTGCATCAACAACATTCGAATACTAGTTGGGGTTTATCTACAATTAGCCCAAGAAAAATGTCTTATTTATACGTTTGATTCTGATGACTGTCATAAGAAAGTAACATTTCGCTAGGTTTATCTAAAATTAGTGAATACATATATAAAAAAAAAACAAAACAAACTTCAGTCTAGTTTTCTGTTTAACGACATATATCGAAAAATTCCACGGAAACCAAATATAGCAGAAGTTAAAAAGGATTTAACTGCGTTTTTCTATCTTCGAGATATTTGATGAATTTTTTTTAAGCAATTCATCTCAAGCAAGGCAAGGAGGGCCACTAACACGCAAGGGGTTACAAAGGATTGAGAACAAGAGTAAAGATGCGTGTTTGAGGCAAGGATACAGAGAATGACTCGGAAGATCAAGATATCATAAGATGTCGATTCATATTAGACTTGAATATTTGAAGATTATATTTACAGTAAAGCAAGCAAGAGGAAGGGAGTTCTACAGACTGGAAGTGCGAGAGAAGAAGCTGTTAGAGTAGAAAGGCCGGTTAAGTTTAACCGTTTCGACAGTGAAAGGGTGAGACCAAGATGCCAGCCTAGTAGCTCGCTTAAATTCACGTAGTCTGGGAACCAGCGAAAGTAGCTCGTCGGAACAGTTGCCGTGAAAGTACTTGTAGAATAGACAGAGGGAATCCACGGTATGTCTGTGAGAAAGCGACTGTAGACGAGATTCCAGATCAGGAGCTGTTGCATCGTATATTCGTCTCTGGATTTTGTCGAGGACCACGTGACGTACAGCGTGGGCACCAGAACATATATGACAGCAATATTCCATGCAAGGACGGATGGTTGATTTATAGATTTGAAAGATGGACTTAGAGCACATTAAATGACTTAATTGAACATCTGTGTACAAAACTTAAGTACTCATATAAGGCGTTGCAGAGAAGAGATTCCCTTGACCCTTAAAAACGAAATTTGCAGATTGTCGTTTTAATCTCGTTAGAATACCTACTATCCGATATGCGAAACCTCCTGAAGAACTGACATATATATATATATATATATATATATATATATATATATATATATATTAATCATTTCACACCAAACATGTCGATAATGCTACTAGGATGCAAGGTACTACTGAGAGTGAAAGAGAATAAAAAAGAACAGTAACCCGATCCTAAAAAGAGAACAAATGATAATAAAACTGAAAATCTTTTGTATGAATATAAAATGCATATACACGGGATGCAAAAGTAGATATACTGTAGGAAAAACTATATATCATTTACAAAGTCCCAGATAAAGAAGCACATATGTGAGATCCGGTGAACGTACTGTATACCTACATTTGCACATCCTGTATTATAAAAATTAGTGATATCAAAGCTATAAACATATCCACATTGTGCGGCTTGAATTCTCTAGATATACGGTGCCAAAAGGAAATCGCACATTTGGATGTGGTAAAATTGATAAGTATCAGGAACATAACTGTGTTGCCTATCGCGAAGTACAGTTGTAAATTTACTTACATGAAAGTAGTTTCGCGGAGCACAGCGCCAAGTTTCGCAGGAATTATTGAGATTTTACCCAGGCTGTTAGGCCATAACTTTTATCCACAGTACTTACACTCAAAGGTTATTTTTCACTGCTTCTTAAAATATATCGCTTTTATTTATTACATACCCGTGTGTTTTGTTGCAGTCTACACAAACCTAGGCGCTGAGCATTCCACGAAAAACATCGACTTTAAACAAGAATTAAGTGTGTTCAAAAGATTCCAGCGTTTAATAGGATAAATCTTGTATTATTTGAAGTATTTTATCCGATACTGAGATATTTCGTTAAAAGAGGGCTACTGCAAAATAAAGACACAAACCTACAGATAATAAAAATCATCGTTATTTTTTGTTTCATTAACAAAGATTTTACACATTATTGAAGAAATATCATTAACTAAATAATATTCTATCAGATATATTTACCAAAATTTCTCAGAAATACAAAAGTTTTAATCTATTCTATACAATCGCCATTGGCTTCAACGATGGCCTCCAGACGAGTTCAGAATCTCTTGCAACTCTTGTGGAGAGTCTCCTTGTTTAAGTTTTTAAATGCTGCCGTAATCCTTGGCTTCAGTTCATCTTTGGTGTTACAAGGAGTTAACTGCGCCTCACACAATGTAATCAAAGGAGTAGCAATCTGTTGAGGTAGGAAGTCAAATATAAGGGGATGCAATTGCAGAGCTCAGAAGATAGACGGCACAGTCTGGTTCAGGATTGAATGCAATCTTCAGGTCCGGAAGATGGCGTTGAAACATGAAAAGTACTGACGCCTCTCGGTGTTAACTTCAGTGTCCAATTTTATATTAACATACACTATATACCTGATATTGGGCACGTGTAACCATAGCTAAACTTTACCTTAAAAACAATATTTTTTCATACACATGTGCATACATATGTGCATATATATATATATATATATATATATATATATATATATATATATATATTATGTCATTCGCAGACAGTACTGTTTTCGCTGTATCACGCCACCTCAGTGCGAATAAACATCCGTCCGAATGATTCAATCCAAGATGAAAACCTGACTGATTGTGTGTCAGGGTTTCTACCGCAGAACTATCATCATTCGGCAGAGAGAAACTAGCGTATTGTTTTTAAGAATGTAAACAAATGCCAATCAGCCAGAGGGCTCCAATTCATTTTAGTGAAGAGCTTGGCATATATATATATATATATATATATATATATATATATATATATATATATATATATATATAAAGTAAAATAATTGATTGTCTATCGTTTTAATTAATATGCAAATTCACCATTTTTATTAAAAAAGCTATTGTCTTACCTTCTCTTTTCTGGGCATGGGATCTGCAACTGCAAGTATTTTTGTAGATTATTCCAGCACATCCGTCTTTCTTCATCATGCATAGAATCAATATATGGTTTGTACAGTAATTATGCTGAGAGGACTGTAGTTACTGTTCCTGGGGAAAATCGCATAATCTGGCCTAATCTGACGAGATTTGAACCTCCGCCATACGGACGGAACACTAACGATTTACCCATTCGACCTCGTGCCTATTTCACAATACTGCGATGCTACGTTTTTTTTTCTTTGTCAGAGTAATATAGTCTTCTAGAGTGGGTGGGGGTACATTAATATCTCTTATATAAAGAAGTTTCTGTGACCATCTGGAGTAGCTTTACGGGCTTAGTGTTTAGTGATTTAATCTTAGAGCCTTAAACAATTCGTTTTATTTTCATGGACTATATCTCAGAAAAATGGACTAGTAAGGCAACCTTGCTGACGGGATGGTTATACTTTTTGGCATTCTGGATGGATTCCATCACTGCTTCAAAAAGGAGCGGATTTTCCAAATTCGCTGTTTCTTTTTTCTTGTCTTTGTCAGCTGCCATTCACAGTTTCGATGTTCTTGTCCTTGTCAATGTCAGGCCAGCTCTTGGCAAAGGTCTTAAAGTGAACACTGAATGCCACACAGATATTGGCAGCCAACTAATGGAAAGAAAGTAAAGGAAGAAATATGAAATCCTGTGCTGTTTCTTTCTAAGCGAAAAGAGAACTATATTTATTGTTTCATTTTCCGTATGACAATTGGGAAAGGAAATTTGTTTTTCAGCAGGCAGAAGAAAGACATAGCGGCAGAATTTAAGGTTTTATAATCATGTTTCATTCCTGGCTATCATAGCTTTTAGAGAATCTTGAACGGAGAGAGGGCTCATTGAAAAGAGTGCATCATCTCTGATTTCTGTGTAATATTCTCCATTTTGAAGTTAAGCATTAAATAGGAGCCACCCGCCTAATAATGACTCTGAAGTCGACAATATACTTAATATTAAGATTCAACGATAACTTGTAAAATCAACCATTTTCCTTATAAGGAAATATTCCAAAATCAATGACCAAGCAGCCATTGCTACTCGAATTATGGTTATATTCACTCCCTGACAATAGCGCTGGGATCAATGTCTAGTATCTGTTCGCCTAATCTCGAATGGTAATAGCAATATTAGCTGTTTTTTTTTATAACGAAACATAGGTTATTTGACCGTGCAGGGTGTGATACTCGAATTATAGTTATCTTCACTTCCTGACAATAGCGCTAGGATCAATGTGTAGTATCTGTTCACCTAATTTGAAATAGTGATGGTAAAATTAACTTTTTTTTATAAGGAATCATACCTTATTCGTACACAGAGTAGTGAGTGCTACTTGGTTTAAGCTTTTCTAAAATCCCTGATCATTAAATTGTAGTATATATTCTTCTCATATCTAATGGTAATAGTGATATTAGTCGTTTCCTTATAAGGAAATATTCAGTGTTCGTTTACCGAGCAGCCAGTGCTCTTATCGGTTTAAGTTTATAAAACGTTTCTACTAAAACTATTTTCCAGGAAAATAGTTTTCTGGGGTCTAGTAGCTATTATTTTATTGTTCTTTTTACTAGTAGAGTTTTCTTTAGGAAGTTAAGACTTTCATAGATAGAGAGACATGGGGATTGATAAATTTCTTATTGAAATGTGCTCACAAGTTCTCATGCTTTTATGAATCTATCCAAAAAGAACAACAACTAATAAAAATAAGAACGTACGTTCACTTGTAAATGGTAATATCTATACGATATCTACGTAAGCATAATAATATATTTTACTCTGCCCATATCTATCTATCAGCATAAAACATATTTTATTCTGTACTAATCTATGTATCTGTCTATCTAAGAACAATAATATTTTTATATTATATCTATCTATCTATCTATCTATCTATCTAAGCCTAATAATATATTTTACACTGCCCTTATTTATCTCCCTATCTAAATCTGTTCATATATATCGATCACAGCATAATAATCTATCTATCTATCTATCTATCTATCTATCTATCTAAGCCTATAATATATTTTCACAGCATAATAATCTATCTATCTATCTATCTATCTATCTATCTATCTATCTATCTATCTATCTATCTAAGTCTATAACATATTTTCTCTGAACTAATCTATCTCTCTATCTAAATCTGTTCATATCTATCGATCAGAGCATAATAATATTTCTATTTATCTATCTATCTATCTATCTATTTGTTCATATTTATCTTTCTCAGTATAATAATATATTTTACTCTGCTCTTTTCGATCTATCTATCTATCTATCTATCTATCTATCTATCTGTTTGTTCATATTTATCTTTCTCAGTTTAATAATATATTTTACTCTGTTCTTTTCTTTCTATCTATCTATCTATCTATCTATCTATCTATCTATCTATCTATTTTGTATTTATTCCGAGTGTATATATATAGTCACAATTAGAGTTCTATATCGATCGCTCCTCTCGTTGAAATTGCGGAGACTCGTGTACAGTATAGCAATTAAAAAGAAATGAAAACATGAACGCAGGCGGCGGTCATTTGAGTCAGAATTTATTAATTTTACACAAGAATTGACCTAAATTATGGAACCTGATCAAACAGGGTTCAAAAGAGGGAAAGCGGAAGATTTGAAAGTTAGCAATAAATTTTAGGATATTAGTTCCACCGAATGCACAGTTTAATATCATCAGAGAAAAATCAAATCGAATGCTTTGATGAATTTCGGGTGTAAAGCGGCGATGAGCCTCCCAGCAACCGAGTCTAGTTCTGCTTTTCTTTCCTGAAACGAATCGAAGATGGTGAAATGTACATTTTTTTTTCTTTTTCAGCTAAGAGTCAAGAAGGATCAGTAATAATGCGAAAAGCATTTAGAAGAAATAATCGTCACAGAGACCTTGCCGTGGAGCAATGATTAGGAAGTTTGAGTCACAGACCATTACGGCTATAGAGAGTTCAATCAGTCAGTGCTCAATTAATCATAGTATCCATTAATCATTATCGCTTCCTTATGGCTTTTATGGAGTTCAGTCACGCCTTAAGAAGAGACCGGTCACAAGCGTTGCATGCCTGGTCTCCCGGGATCCCTCTGCCATGCATCACATCCTCATTTCACGAGGAAAGTACGGCCATCCTTGTGCTTTGATCCCTGTGAGAAAGCGGGTGTGGATGGGCTACGTTTGCCACCACCCTTCCATATACATGTGTGATTCTCCATATTAGAATGACATTGAATTATATTTGTCCTCGTGGGGATGCAAAGAATTGGAACTCCATTAATTTCAGTAAATATCAATAATCCCACATATTTAATAGGATGTCGTGAATGAATTCTTCAAGACTGCATGAGATATCCAATAAATTTAGTCGATATATGCAGGATTTTGTGAGTGGTAACATCATTTAGCATTTGATAAAGAACGAAACGATCGAATGTACTTGAACAAAATGAGAACACGGGCATAATATATACGTTATTCGGACTATTGTCCTCATCTTTTTTGCCATATTTATCACAACGTTTCGGCTGTTGTATGCTCCAGCCTTCTTCAGCTGGTTGGAATGTCAAACTGAACATTTTATTTCGCTCGCTGGCGTAGACTGTTCTAGTTCCACGTGCCATGTCTAATGCATGTCAGTTATCAGTTATCTCCTGGTAATTCCGCTCTCCAATTTTTCCCCTGCCTTAATCAGGTATCGAACTCACAAATCTTTGGGTCCTCTCACTGGATCTAACCAACTCATTTATCCACTGTGATATATGTCCTTAAGTACATCTGTGTATGAATTACTGGGACTCATAAACTTAAAGTCTTCAGCAAACATTTTTTCCCGTGCTCATATTGCAATTTTTGCTTTTATCATTGCGTAAAACGGCTGAAACGTTGTGATAAATATGGCAACAAAAATGAGGACAATAGTCCGAATAATGTAAACAGTCCACATAATACCTCATCTAGGAAATATAGACAGAAACGAACATAATATTTGAATACTTTATTTAGGACAAATATAATATGCCAATATTCATTGCATCTAGGAAATGACCTCTCTAATATTAATATAAGCCATCAAACATATACATTGGTAAAATTACTACAGCCCACTCAAGTTGGCTAACATGGCATAGATCAACCAATAGTGTCGTTTAATATCATTTAACACTACTAGATTTCTACTAATATCAGATAATATTGCAGAGAAAATATAGATATTATGCATGAAGTGTATATATAAATCACTACAAAAATAGCCAGTTTCTTTCAACACTTCCGGTGTCTTATCAAGTGATGACGTTGAATAGATAGATAGATATAGATATTTGTCGAATTTAAAAATGACTACAGGCGCTGAAAATCTTTTTAGATTCTAAATGCTACATTAAAATAACATAACTTTAAAGCTAAGAACTAGGCTATTAAATAAATTCACTTAACAAACGGATCTAGTTACATTATGACAGAACCGGCTTACATCCGTGGTAAGGTGACCGGAAATAATATCAACATTCAAAAGCCGTTTAACATTCTAAATGCCGTAACTTATGGATGGGACGTATAAATGAAAAAGCCTAATCCTTAATATGAAACCGTTGTTCGGCGATGATTAAAATTTCTTACCAATTATACGTTATCTTTTGCGCAGATTAAGGAAAGTATTAAACACTTTTTAAATTAAGGAGTTACAGCTGATGCACACACACACACACACACACGCGAACACACACACACACACACACACACACACATATATATATATATATATATATATATATATATATATATATATGCATATGAGAACGTGTGAGTGTGTATCGCGTGTCCGTGTTTGCGTATGTCCGTGGATGTGTTTGGCTGAAGACCAATAACTAATGACAAAATAGGAAATCGGTTAGATCTTTACGAATGCCGCAAAATACGCAAAAGTCAAATAAACTTTGAAAACGATTACAAAAATTAGAAGGATTAATTCTAAAAACAAACAAGCCGATAACAATAAAAGATAAACAGGATGAGTTAGAAACCTTCTTCTTTTATGTGTCTTGTCGCTTCACAACATAGGCGATCATAGCTCCTCACATCTTCCTTGCCTTTGTAGCTTTTAAAAAGTGTTGTCTTTCTCCCAAACCCTTTTCTTCATCTATTTACTCAAGCTTTTCAAATATGTTATACGCTGCTTCCCTCTGTCCCTCTTTCTCTCAATATGTCCTGGGAGTATCAGAATTTCTAAGCCATCCTTCCTCATTACGCACCCCATAAATTTCAGCTGCGTCTTCCTGATAAGTTGAAGTTTCATTTTAGTTTTCATTTTCTTCAAAACCGCGTCGTTCCTCACATGTGTGCACCGTGATATCAACATCTTTCTGTCGAACCACATTTCTGTTCCTTCAAGAATCTTCTTCGTCTTTGGGCAGGTTTTCTAGCATTTGCTGCCATAGAAGATGACAGATATCACGTAACACTTTACACCAAATTTAATTCAAAGAAAACAATCAGAAAAACAACGGAAAATGCCACGTACAGGCATGATAAACAAACGATCCTTAAAGAAATTTCGATGTTCAGTAACCGAAAGTTTCTGATAAAATTCTAAGTGTAAATGCCAACATACACTGCTCACATGGAGATCTCTTCAGCGTACTCAATGAAAAAGCGTAAAGTTTCGCAATGACTCATTGATATGTCGCCTCACCAGATGAAAGTAAATATGTTACATTAAGGTTAATGGCATTTATATTGATCTTTGTAGAATATCAGGTTGGTGCTAAAATGTATTTGATATTATGTACACTATTTACATTGTTCAGACTATCATCCTCATCTTTGCTGACATATTTATCACAACGTTTTGGCCATTGTATGCTCCGGCCTTCTTCAGGTGGTATGAATGCCGAACTGAATTCGCTCGCTGAGGTAGACTGTTCTAGTTCCACGTGCCATGTCTAATTAATGTCAGTTATCAGTTAATTCCTGTTTATTCCCTTCTCCAAGTTCTACACCTCCTTAATCAGGTATTGAACTCAAGGACACATGGCACAGTGGATAAAGGTGTTAGGTACAGTGACAGGTCCCAAAGAACGTGAGTTCAATACCTAGTTAGGGCGATGGAGAACTTGTAGAGAGGAATTAACAGGAGATAAATGATAACTGACATCCATTACACGTAGCACGTGGTACTAGAACAGTCTACCCCAGCGAGTGAAATAAAGGGTTCAGTTCGATATTCGAACCACTTGAAGAAGGACGGAACACACAACGGCCGAAACGTTGTGATAAATATGGCAAAAAGAATGAGGATGATAGTCCAAACAATTTAGTGTATTTTTTATACATTGAGCCAAAACTTTCTGACAGATCAACAAATCTTATTAAATTTATACAGTATGTAAAAAAAAATGGATTTAGCAGCAGAAAACTCATAAATATTGCTTATAATAATGTTAGTTTACCGTCATTACGAGTAAGATAGTACACCTTTAAGAAATATTTAATGACCCCAGGCATTAGCATTTTTATTATTAGTCAAGTGGTCCCCAACTGGCACCTTACTTTTTTCTAATCTCTCAAACATAGTTAGAACCTATGAACTGAAAACCTCACTTGATGGTATAAGTAGCTCAAGTATTTCTTGACGAGAGAATCCTCAGATCAGTAACTAAGATACGATTCAAAATGATTAGGAGATATGTTCAAAAGGAGAAGAAAAAACAGGAACAGATGAATGCTGGTTGTATAAAACCGCGTCAAGTTTTCAGAGATAAAAAGAAAGGGAATTAGAGTAGTACATCGTTTGAGTAGCAAAATATATATCTTGGCATCTCATCACAAGAAATGATACTTGCACTTCACTTTGCCAAAAATCTTTTGAGTGGAACCCTTCTTTCATGGACTATAAAAGGGGTATGAATTTTTAGATTGGTTTCCAGGTGTTACTATAAGGTACACATATCTTTATAAACGCGTACACTAACCGACATATGACTCCAGCTACAATTTCAAAGAAACCAGTATTTCTCAATCACTTACTAAATGTGGTGAAGTTATTGATTAGTATCATATTCAAGCACATGTAGAATCTCTTCAAAGAGCTAGAATTTTTGTGACAGAAAAAAGAAAACAAACAGTTCCTTTGAGTGTAGTTAATTAGTAAAAATATCTGCTTCCATTCTTACATTTTGATCAGCTCATTCTGATGTTTACTTGACAGTTTTTCTTTTTCAAAGAGCTCTTTAAAAAGCATCGGTCACTTTGTCCTATTCGTAGAGCTAAATCATCGAGACGAATGAGTGAAAAATGTCTTCTATGAATCATCAAGCATATGAGTTGCAGAAAGAAAACGTCAATTCTCATCAGATTTGACAAGCACATGACTCATGTCGACATTGAAATGTCTCATTTTGTGAACAGAAATTATATCTTTCCATTCCCTACCTCCCCTGTTTCTCCACAAGCTGAAAACACTCGATGTCAATATATTTGGAAAAGTGAGAATATTGTCCCTGCATCAAAATATTTATGATAAATAATACTGGAAAATGTATGACGATATATGAAATCCATTCAACTGTGACGGAATACGGGCCCTAAGTTGCTTTTTCTAAAAATATGAGAAAGGTTTTGGAATTTTTTCCTTAAAAAAATTAATAACATCACTATAGACTTATCGGCTCATCAACTATGATATATAGATCGGTCCTTCATTCGAGCAACCTAACAGACATGATGTCATTCAAGACTCTTCTTGAACCACGGTAAGTACAGCACTAAAATCTCTATTTAATCGGTTAGCTCACCTAATTGAATATTCACTTGCCATTACCGACGATAATTTTGACTTTCACAAGGACGTATATACTGATATTCAATTACGTGTAAGAATACATTGATTATGTACGATTAGTGATATACCTTGTAGATCAAGGTTATAAAGTATTCTCTAATATATCTATTAGCATGTAGATGATGCGAAGGGATTCCTGTCGTCATATGCAGTAGCCTTTTCCAATGGAGTTCAGTGTCTTGTCTCACATAAACCTTACAATATCATTATTCATGCCAAAAGGTTGGGATTTTGAATTTTTTATCTATTAGGTATCACTAATCATTTTCAGATTTTCTCCTTTGAAAGTTTTGACTTTTATTCAAAGTAAGACGCATTGCCAGTGCAGTAGAGTTCAGAATGAAGTAAATGTTGATATGTTGTTACTAACAAAAATGAAAAGA